TGACCTGAGTACTTCGAGTCCTATGCAAAAACGCATGATCGCACGGGCCCGCCCGGTGCGTTCCAGACTGGGTTTATTATCGGAGGTTTAACTGAATAGTAGAAATTGTCAGATAGCGGGCACAACGGACATCTCTCTCCTTATGCTCCCTCACCCTATCCGTCCCTCCTTAACATATAACGAATCACTAAATCTTTGCTCTTAGAAATTTTAACTTTCTGACTTCCGTAGTTCACAGACTAACTTGTCAGATCAAAGAGTTAAAAAGATCAGCGGGTGTGATCACGCTACATTGCATTTTCCATACAAAAAACGCATGAAATGTTCAAGAATTACAGTAAATTTAGGATAAATTTTCAGAAACTGAAAGCTAAACATTTTTAAATAAAAGTTCTCAAAATTATTATAGGAACATATTGTTCCATTTGTGATCTATTAAAACGCAACTTCCATAGTCCTTGAAAACTTGCACGCCAATTATCAAGTGACAATAAATTGAACACCAATAAATTCGAGTAAAAAACCCTAAGCTGGAGTTCATGAGGTTCGGTGGTACGATCACGTGTTTTTGCATTAAACTTGAAACAGTCAGGTCGTTTGACTGAGTGAGTGACTGTTTCTTGTATTATGTTATTCGTTAGAATAATTCATCATAAATTTTGCACAACGGAAAATTAAAGATTTTCATTGAAAGGACGTTCGTTGAAAATGACCAGGCTGTTCACTAGGCAGTTTCTCCGCCAAAATATTTAATTACCTTTGCGTAAAGAATACAAACATGTAATAATTCAGTTTAAAATCTTTAAGGTTTACATGGACGGAGAAAGTCTCCTTAAAATTTCAGCGCCAGCCTTTATGGCTCCCGAGTTAGCAGTTTTCCCGACAAAAATTTTCACATGCGAGCACGTGAAAACTACGCACACGTGGGGGCTAAATTTGAAATGCTTAAGTTGTACTTAGCGGGGGATATCTCAAGCTGGCCGGCAGCTTCTCTGGTTTCTAAAACAGCAACTTTCCTGCCAAAAATTTTCGTGGACCCCTACGTGAGAACCACGCACACTTGAGAGCAGAGTTTGAAATCTTCGACTTGTACATGGACGGTGGACATCCCCATAAAATTTCAGCTTTGTAGCTTTTCTGGTTACCGAGTTAGCAATTTCCCGCCAAGAATTTTCAGTAGCCCGTATGCAAGAAACACCCGGACGTAAGCGATTGTTTAGAGAATTCTTATAGTCAAACCCGCTGTCAGCTTGCGTTTAAGCAACCTTCGAAAGCGTCAGTCATCAACAGCTTTACCCGAAGGTGGTTGTTGCTACCGATGGGGCTAATTCTTCGGTTCCTTCGCCCCTTGCGAAAATCGAATATGGCAAGGATTTCGATTAGACCAAAAAATAAAAATATCTGAACTGATGATATGCTTTCAGGAAAAATTATTACGAGAGCCGAAACGTCGTCAGTGCAATGTTAATGACCAGGCACTGCCCATACATAGTTACGGCCGCATTTATGGTGCTCTCCGTTGTACTCTTTTTTAAATTCGTCGATCGGGCTGTGCTTCAAGCCAGCGAACGTATTGCCCGGAATAAACGTGTGCGGTTTCGAAATGCACAGATTCGATGCCTCACTAGAAAGGTTGGCAAATTCTTGTAGCTCAAACTAACATTTGTATGTGGCAGGACGAGTGTGCTCCTGAGACTCCTGGGAGTTTTTTTTTTGGTAGTCACGCAGATCACAGGACCTCTAGTCAACAGACTGGCGCTTCGGGTGTTGTCGCGAGCGACGACAGAAAGTAAATTTAGTTAGGAAGGCATTTTATTTACTTCGCTGAGGACTAGCAGATTTTCAACATTTACGAAAATTTACCGCACGCACATAGGGGGATTTTTCATTTGTAATCCTCCAGATACTACTTGGAAGATTACAACTCGAAGAGGACCTGGCGCAGCTGCACTGGTGCTCCACTTCCGCGCTTTGATTTCAGTGGATGTTGCGGGGCGCTAGATGCTGTGATTCCAGTAAAACGTTGATTGTATTACTTTCACCAGTGAAGGCGTTGACTGAGCAAAGAAAGAATTTTTCTTTCTTGAAAGTTCCGTAAAAAACGATAAAAGCATCTCCATCAAAATTGTTCAGAATGCAGCTGCCCGAGACAAGTGAAAATATCAGTCTGACACAGCTGGACCGCAGTGACATTCCGTTCCGTAACACCGAGGATTCCATACATTCTGTACCATTTGAATGGAGAATGAGATTACTGTTCAAGTTTTTCAGGGTCTGCCGTACGAAGAGTTTCTTGAAAAAGTGCTGCAATCGAAAACGATCCATAAGCAATTCGATGGCTTGCAGCAAGATTTGGCCAGTTGGCCAAATGATATTAGTGCTATATTCCGTCAAATCCTCATCGATTATCTACATCATTTCAGCGGTAAAATTATTAGGTGCGAAAGAATTCATGTTTTACACAAAAAAAATGAGGCATGCTTCTCAACTACTGATTACACCGAGAAACAAATGCATCCGGGCTATCATTATGCGTATTTCATGTTAGTGATCGTTATTGGGATGATTCCGTACGCCGATTATGCAACCATGTCCTGTTGGCTTCTTTCAAATTGACACCATCTGTCTGCAGTCTTGCCACGCGCGGGCATACCGGCACTTTGCGTCACTTTTGTCTTCGATGCGTTAATTTCCAGGCCTAATTCTTTACTTCATGCGTTGGCCTCTTTCAGAGTTTCTGTCATCTCGCCAAGACTGCTCACAATAAGAACTGTGTCATCCGCTGTGATTTAGTCGCACGCCGATTTCAAATAGAGATTGTGTTACTAGTGAATTGGCACAAGCAGAAAAATTTTCGGATGTAGCGCTGTTTTTTTTTGCTTCGCCATTTTACTCGCTCTGTAAAAAAGGGCACATATTGCAGTAACTAAGTACTCCATATTCTTTGTTTTTTTATGCGTTTTTTGCATCTATGCAATGCAAAAACGCATATTGTCGAGGGGTTGTCTGTGT